CCCCTTCATGTAAAACCCAGTTAGCAAGGGGAGGCCCCTTCATGTAAAACTCAGTTAGCATGCCATCCCTGGAAGCGGAGAAGGGGGAGACCCCTTCATGTAAAACTCCGTTAGCATGCCATCCCTGGAGGCGGAGAAGGGGGAGGCCCCTTCATGTAAAACCCAGTTAGCATGCCATCCCTGGAGGCCTTCCTGTGCCGGAGAAGGTGGAGGCCCCCTTCATGTAAAACCCAGTTAGCATGCCATCCCTGAGGCCTTCCTGTGCCGGAGAAGGGGGAGGCCCCCTTCATGTAAAACCCAGTGAGCACGCCATCCCTGGAGGCCTTCCTGTGCTGCACGCCGATGCAGCTCACTGTGCAGCGACTGATCAGCTCGGGCGACAGCTTTGCTGAGGTGCAGAGAACCGCCCGAACCTGGCTTACTCAGAAGATGCCCGTGCTCGCAGAGTACATGATGACATCGTGTGAACGAGTTATCCAGGTACCTGAGATCGCTCTGGATCCAGACGAGGGACCTTCCCCAGCGCGCTGACACAATCGAGTTGCTTGCAGCCCAGCTGTCCACATGCATGGACGTGGATGTTGGTAGGTGTGGTCTGGTCTACGTCGTCTACGTGATGGCCTTCCCAGATGCCAAGGTCTTCAAGCTTGGCTTCTCGTCATGGTCCAGTTTGAGCAAACGTCTACAAACAGCAGAAGTCATAGTGCAGACAGAGGGTCGCCTGCAGGCGCTGTTGGCAGTGGAAGGGTCCGCATGGTTGATCGAGCAGATCTGCCACGGCTTTCTACATGACCAGCACAGCATTCAGTACTTTTACTGGAGTGATGTAAAGCAGCAGGCGAAGATGTACTCCGAGTGGTACGATTTAGCCATCTGTGATACACTCTTTCCTTCATGGAGAGCTTGATCGGCATGCCATCAGAGCAATTGGTGAAGTTGCAAAAGCGGTACTGGGCAAAGTGGATGACGAAGGTCGAGAACCTGTCTCCAAATGCCTGCAAGACCATAACAGCACTGCTGCGCGTCTCTCGCTCGCAGGAAAGAGGACATCCCTGCTCACGCTCTACACACTTTCTCCAGCTTGGAGGAATTTCAGGCAGCCGAAGCCGACATGCAGGCGTTGATCGGGCAGCAGGTGCTCATCTGGAGTCCACACTTGGGCAGGCCCAGAGTGTTGCCAGCCCTGGTTGGAATTCCTGGTCCTGGGATGAAGAGGTTGATGCCTGTTGGTAGAAGGCACTGGCCGATGCACGTGGTGCAGTGGACGAGTCTGAGTCCGGCCATGCAAAACTTCATGGGCCGGAGACTGACAGTTTGATATCCCGAGCCAGGCTGGAATACGATTTTCCAGGCAGCGAGGGCCGCAAAGAGTGCTGCAGCTCCTCCCTTGGAAGGCACGCCACGCACTAGGTCCGAGATGGCTGCGGCAAAGAGGGCCGCAGCTGGTGCTACCGGAAAGAAGGTCCGTCGCAAGCCGTCGACACAGTACTGAGTACTGTCGTGTGTGTATGCATTCATATCTCACATATACATACTTTGCTATTTATATATATATATAGAATCTAGAAGTGTTTGCATGCATGTACTACTCCTACATATTTTCCCTGGGAAATTGCATACATTCACGCCTGAGTCGACTTGCAGATTTCACGTGTTCACTGCTCCCTGACAGAATGTGGTTGATGCTGCAGACAAAAACGGGGGTTGTGCGTCTTTTCAGCTGTGGTTTTGCACCGATGAAGCATGAAGCATGTTCTTACCCGACAGGAGACCTTCCGATCTTGGAAACGATGTCATCGTATCCGTGTCAGAACTGGCAAGTTCAAAGACGCAGAGACAAGTCCATGCTGAAGCATCAACCAACATAGTCTCTTCGAAGTGTGCGGTGATTTGCCATGCTTAACATGACTCGGTGTATGTGCCTTCAGCAGAGGTGAGCGATGCACCATCTTTTTCTGAGCTTCTGCCGAAGGCAGCATAGTAGCTTAGGAGCTCTTGTCGAGGCTTGCGGAGACCTGCGCTGAACGGGTTAGGCCTCAGGGTCCAGGTCGCCGCAAGTCTTTGTACAGCTAAGATAATGAAGCAGCGGGGCACGAGCCGGCACAGCGCGCCTTCAATTGCATTCATTTACGGCTGACCCAGGATGAGAAGTGCCCAAGAGCTGTCTCTCGCCTCTCACGTGGGCAATCTTCCGGGGGCAAGAGTGAAGCGGCATTGACAGAACGATGACTTGCAAAGCAAGCACTGCTAAAACTATCGCGCCGACACTGTCGTTGAGAGCTCGATGTCCTTTGCAAAGTCCTGCCGCGCACAGCAGCAGACGGGGAGCTTTGTCCTGACCCCTCCATCAGCAATAAAGTCACTGTGTTGCTTCGAGTTTTTGCTGCTTTGAGCACGGTTTCATGCACAAAGGCTCCCCGTGCGATGACCGCGCTGCACACGTTGCCATTCCTTGGCTCTGAGCGGCAGCGAGAGGTGCCAAAAAAAGTGCAGCAGAGGGATTTCCAGCGCTGGGATGATGAAGGTCAAACTCCCTCCCGACCTGCTTTGTTACAAACGAAATGTCAGCGCGAGGATCAAAGATGAGCTCGAAGATGCCGCATTCGCGATAACGCATCCTGAGGCATGGGCCGGTGACTTGTTCGCGTCTTCTATTGTGATTGTGTGTGTGTGTGTGTTTTTGTACATGTTGTTGCGTGTACATGGCTGGCCAACAGCCAGGAATGGTTTCCCAACCACCCCAACACTTCGGTTTGGCTCATGTCTTATTCATGTCTTGCAGGAGCGCGCGGAACTTCGTGCGCTGCTGGGCGAGCGGCAAGGTCCCGGGTTCAGCAAGACTGCGATCAGGAAGCACTTCCCAACAGCAGATCACTGGTTTTGTTCACCATGCGGCCGGAAATCACGTTTCTGCAATTCAGATGGCAGGAGAGATGCTGGTGAATACCGCCACGCGTGAACTCCAAGAGGCCCGGCCCATGTCAGCATTGGGGCGACCATGGGCGACCACAGTCACGGAAAAAGTTGATTTTGCTTGTTGCATCCTCTCAGGCTTTGGAGGCTTCGCAGTTCAGGGAGCTCTCATCCCTCCGAGTCCGAATCTCTCCTTCTGCAACTTTTGTTTTGGTCCGCGTGCATGAGGAAGCTGTGATGCGCTCACCACAAGGTCTCGGGGCGTGCCAAGTCTGCTTACAGCACATGGAAGAAGATGAACAAGATGCTTGTCACCTTTAGACTCATTGACCGCGGCTGCTTGCCCGGCAGTCTGAATAAATCATCAGACTGGTGCTAAAGCCGAGGAAGAATCTTCGTTTCCACGAGGCTCGCCATCGCGAAAAGATGCTCCGCCAAGAGCTTGCAACAGTCGATGTGTAGGAGCCATGCGGCATCAAACTCCTCGTTAACAGTCTTATAGCCCATTTTTTCTCGCTGCGACCTCTACGTGGTGGTTTGCCGATCCTGCCAGATTTGGGATCGCATGGCCATCCGAGTCATCCTCGATGCCTGACGCTCAGCAGTGAACCTTCAGTGTTTGTATCTGCTCAAAGTGGGTCTGCGAAACTGGGCCGGGTCGGCGATGCCGAGGCTACGGATGTCTCGAAGCCAACCTTCCAAGCTTCCAGGCTCCGAGTGCAGAGCGCGCGCGGCAACTCTGCTTCGAAGTCCGAGATGTCGTCGCCAGCCTCCCAGAGTTGCCTCGCTGCCCTCGCGGCAGAGTCATTGGACATGGTGGTAAAGCTGGCTCGTACGCATGTGGAGCTTACTTGCGACCGAGAGATTAGTTTCCTGTGCCTGCAGAGGCACAGTGGTGCTGTTGCAAAAGATGTTAGCTCCATTCTGCTTCCCGCTTTCTGTCCCAAATCTCTCTAGCGCAGGGAGCGTGAAATGCTCCTCGAAAGACCCCCTCCCCCCGTGCACAGCAATTTCAGGCCGGACTGTGGAAACTGGTGGAGGGGCGGAGCAAGGATTATGTCAGCAATCCAAAGGCCCCGGGTCCAGGTTTGGATTTCTGGCTGCACTTTGTGTGACAGAGAAGAGTAAGTACTGCTTATTTGCTTTGGTGGCGCGCTTCGACAGGCAAACATGAGAAAAACTGTTTCCTGGTTCTGGGCTGGCGAAGCATGTGTGTTATCCTCTGCAGCTCCTTCAGAAGAAGCATTGCTTGTGACGGTTCGCGTGCGTCGGCCACCAACCTGTACCCAACATGCTGCTTAACTCTTGGCTTGAGTGTCGATTCGTTCTGGTGGTGCAGGCGAATGGATACCGCAGCATACACTTGGTTGCGACCCGGGAGGGCGAACACTTTGAGGCACCGGGGACGTAGGCTTCTTGAGAGTAGCGTTCGGGGCACGGCGCACCATTTGTTGCAGAAGATGAGTCCCGCCACCAAGACGCGCACAGCATGAGCATCAGCTGCGACATATGCGGTAGACGGTCAGTCATCACGCCACCAAGGCGCGCACAGCATGAGCATCAGCTGCGACGTATGCCGTAGACGGCCAGTCATCGCGTCACTAAGACGGGCATCATGAGCATCAGCTGGGATGTATGCCTTGGACCGCTCATCATGGCGCCACCGAGCCACGAGCATCATGAACATCAGCTCGGATGTATGCCGTAGGCGGCCAGTCATCGCGGCGCCAAGACATGTGCATCATGAGCATCAGCTGGGATCTATGCCCCAAGGCAAGTGCATCATGAGATATCATGAGCATTAGCTGGGACGTATGCCGCAGACGGCCTGCATCATGAGCATCAGCTGCGAGGTATGCTGCAGATGGTCAGTCATCGAGTCATCAAGAAGCCGTCATCATGCGCATCGGCTCGGGTGTATGCAGCACGTGGCCAATGATCGAGCCACCAAGACATGCGCATCATGAGCATCGGCTCGGGTGTATGCTGCATGTGGCCAATGATTCATCGAGCCATCAAGACACGCGCATCATGAGCATCGGCTCCGGTGTATGCTGCACGTGGCCAATGATCGAGCCATATCGAGCCACCGAGACACGCGCATCATAAACATCAGCTGGGATGTATGCCGTAGACACGCGCATCATGAGCATCAGCTGGGACGTATGTCGCAGACAGCCAGTCATCGAGCCACCGAGAACCCCGCATCATGAGCATCAGCTGAGATGCATGTGCGAAGACACGTGCATCATGAGCATCAGCTGGGATGCATGCACCAAGACACGCGCACCATGAGCATCAGCTGGGGTGTGTGGTGCAAGCGGCCAATGCTCGAGCGACCAAAATATGCGCATCATGAGCCTCCGCTCGGGTGTATGCTGCACGTGGCCAATGATCGAGCCATCAAGACATGCGCATCATGAGCCTCCGCTCGGGTGTATGCTGCACGTGGCCAACGATCGAACCACCAAGACATGCGCATCATGAGCATCGGCTCGGGTGTATGCTGCACGTGGCCAGTGGTCGAGCCACCAAGACATGCGCATCATGAGCCTCCGCTCGGATGTATGCAGCACGTGGCCAATGATCGAGCCACCAAGACATGCGCATCATGAGCCTCCGCTCGGGTGTATGCTGCACGTGGCCAACGATCGAGCCACCAAGACATGCGCATCCTGAGCCTCCGCTCGGGTGTATGCTGCACGTGGCCAACGATCGAGCCACCGAGACATGCGCATCATGAGCATCGGCTCGGGTGTATGCTGCACGTGGCCAATGATCGAGCCACCAAGACATGCGCATCATGAGCATCGGCTCGGGTGTATGCTGCACGTGGCCAACGATCGAGCCACCAAGACACGTGCATCATGAGCATCGGCTCGGGTGTATGCAGCACGTGGCCAATGATCGAGCGACCAAGACATGCGCATCATGAGCATCGGCTCAGGTGTATGCTGCACGTGGCCAATGATCGAGCCACCGAGACACGCGCATCATAAACATCAGCTGGGATGCATGCTGTAGACACGCGCATCACGAGCATCAGCTGGGACGTTTGTCGCAGACAGCCAGTCATCGAGCCACCGAGAACCCCGCATCATGAGCATCAGCTGAGATGCGTGCGCTAAGACACGTGCATCATGAGCATCAGTTGGTATGTATAAGCAACAAGACACGCGCATCATGAGCACCAGGAGCATCAGCTGGACTGCATGCCGCAGACGGCCAGGACTTGGCCAGGCATCGCCCCAACAAGACATGCGCATCATGAGCATCAGCTGAGATGGAAGGTGCAAACGGCCAATCACCGAGTCACCAAGAACACGAACCATGAGCATCAGCTGGGATATATGGCCAGCTGGGATGCATACTGAAAAGGAGTCTTTCACGACACCAGGTCCAGGTGTGCCTCATCGGCATTATTCGTTGCCCGCTCTTCTACTGCGCCGGTTCTCGCCAGCATCTTCTATTGTCCTGTCGAAGCACGGTTCTCACGATTGAGTAGATTATCTGGCCCGATCTCATGTTCCGTCGTTTCAGTGGAGGTTTGCCGGCTTCTGGGTCAGGTGGAGGTGTTTTAGTCAGGTTTGCCTGGGGAGTGATGCACTTACACATGCGGATTGCCCTTGGACCGTGATGTGTGTCTTTACACGAACTCCATTTCGGATGATTGCAGGATCGACAACTCGATAACTGTCCAACCCATGCCAGTTCTGTACGTAGACTGTGCCATGCTGCCCCGTTGTGGACCGGCAATCACAGACCAGGAGGGGTTGTTGGAAACTCCAGCCACTTTCAGACCATCAGATCAGGTTCCTCTTCTTGCAAGTAAATACTTTGCTGCAGCTGTTTTCAACAGAAGAAAGCTCCACGGCGAAGACCCCCTAGCCTCGACACATCCAGGTATCGTTATATTGTGCTACAGCTATGTGAAGACTGGGGGCAGGAGCGCGTCCTTTATGTAAGCAATAAAAACCCTAAACCCCTAAACCCTGAACCCCTAAACCCTGAACCCCTAAACTAAAGGCCCTAGCCTTGCTTTCTCTTGGACCCGCTTTTCAGAGCCATGGAGAAGCTGGTTAGTGCTCTGCGCAGCGTGGCGCCAGAGTTTTTTCGCAGCAACTTAGTGCGTGATTTCAGGAATCATATGGTTCTTCAGGACTTTGTGGGGTGCTGGTATGAGTTGTGTCGAAAAAATCGGAGCATTGTGAGGCCATGTATTGAGTGTCAGGTTTCAGGTTAACAGCCGTTGTTGGGGAGTTTCACATGGCGACGAGCTGTCGAAGCATGAAGCCTGGCCAGGTTGGTGATTTCCACCCTTTTTGTCTTCGTCTCGGTGGATGCAGCTGTATCTGCCAACCATTGTCTCGAAGGCCGTAAAGTGTTCCTGCCTGCCTTCGCAAAGAAGACCCTTCGGTTGAGACCATTGTCTTTTAGAGCAGCTGTGGAATCGCTGGATTGCAGGGAGTTGTGAGGATCTTGGTTTGAGTCATGGCTGGTGTGCAAGGCTGCCGTGCCCATGGTGGAGGCCCGTCCAGGTGCGAAGCGAAATCATTCGTGTGATCGCGTTGTATCATAGTGCACAGCAGAGGAAATCACGTCGCCACAAGTACCGCCTTCAACTGTTCTGATTGCTTTCTCTTGTCCCGAAGTTTCTCGGGAGCAGAGGCGACTGGACATGAGCGTTGTCTTAAGTGGGAGTGGGGAACACGTGCTATTCATGCAGCCATTAACTTGTGGGCAACTCCTTGACCAGGCGACTGATGGGCACGCCATGCCCGCCACCGACATTTAGCGTGCAGGCCATAAACGGCGATCGCACGTTGTTCAAAAGCTGGCTCGGCTTGCATCGCTAGGGAGCCCCTGAATCAGTGCAGTCCAAGATTGAACGGTGTATACACAAACTGCCAGGAACCTGAAAGTCTCTACAAGAGGCAGAGATGTTGTGGCAGCAGTACTGAGGCACCTAGAGCCCGTAGAAGTTAAGAGACCAGTCCGGGTGGCTTCGAAACAGTTTTGTGGCTGCTCTACACCACATGGTGGTAGATCTCTGGGATCCACAGTTGGAGGTCCAAGGCTTTGAATCCCAAGTTGCCCAAACCCATAGATTGAATCATGAAGTGAAGGGTTCCAGAGTTTCGTCAAACAGGGGATGAAGGCATGAACGGAACAACTGTAGGGCGACCAGTCACTAAACCATCGAAGGGCCAAGGCGTGTTCGTGCGCCTCAGCACAGGGCCAAACACGACAGCTTGGACCTCCGGCTCCATCTGCTCTAAAACTAGGCTTGCGCTCGAACCTCGCCGTATCCTGCTCGCCAGGTCTCTCTGGCCACAGGCTTCGCAGCAGCAGTCGCCAGCAGTTTCTTGGCCAGTCTGCAGGTGGATTGAATATCTAGTCTATGCTGACAGTCTTACAAGGCGACCTGCACTTATCGTCGAAAAAGTGTTGCCGAGCACGTAGACAGTGGCACACCACACCAACAATGTAATCCGGGTATGCCAGTACAGTAGATGTGTGCCGGGTTGTCCAGGCAAGGGTTCGCGATAGTTCGCATCTGATCTTTTGAGTCAGATTTGTGCGAAGTCCGGCTACGAACTCTCCGGCTTTGATTTTGATTTTTCAGTGCTCCATGATGGTACAAGCTCGGCCTCACAAAAGAGACTTCACGCAGGTTGGAGATAGCAACAGGTCAGAAGGATTCCGTCTTCTCGTGTTCGCGAGAGTTGCCTGCAAAGGATGGAAGCAATGTCTCGATTTTGTTATGCTATGCTGCTATGCTGATCCAGAGACATTGCAAGCAGCTCACGTTTGCGCCTTGTTCTGCCGGCCGCCATTGGACCCCTCATGTAGTGTCGCGGACTTGGTTCAAGTTCCCTCACGCTTGAGGCTTCACCTACAAGCCCAAGGACGGGAAGCAGAAATGCAAGCGAGTGCTGAACACGGGGCTTCACACTTCAGTCGCCATCTCTGCGCAGATGTCAGGTGGGGCTTCGTGATAAAAGCGGCTCGTGAACTGCGACTGTATTTTATATTCTGCAGACAACTGGGAATCCTCCCCCTGCCAGCACTGCAGGCTGTCCCTTATTTTTGTTCGCCAAGCCATTGTTCGGAA